TCTACTGTGATCGATCTATAGAATTCTTGCCGACTATCTTTTTTTGCTTATTACAAAAGATAGAATATATAATTTTGAAAAATAATTCTGTCTATATTTAATTATATTTTTAAATTCATTATTACTTGCTGATGTGTAAACGAAGCATTATTTTCTTCGTTTTGTTTTTACTTTCGAACATCCGAGCCAATTCAACTGTTTACAATTGAGTTATATTATTTGGCTAATTATTTTTCCTGTTTTGTCTTTTTAGTATCGAACTATAATATGCAACAAAAAAAAAAAAACGATTATTTGTTTGAAATTGTATATTTCATTGTTTTTCTTTTCTTCTCTCATAAGTATACATATGTTTTATTTGATGACTTGTTAGTTATTATGTGTCATGGAAGCTTTATTTCTGTTTTGTGTCTGTATCTATAATTTTAATGTTCAAGTGGAGAATTTTCTTGTTTGTTAAATTCTTTTTTTTTCTATAAATCTAAAATTATTATACTAGATTTTACAAATTTTGACTAAATAATCAAAATAGATAAAACTAATGTTTGTGAAATATTATTCAGTAAACATAAATTGTCTGATTGCTTGTATGTCCGCAAGGTCAAAAAAACATCGAAAACCGATTTTTCCAGTAAATGTGAAGAGGATGCATTTCTACGAGAAAGAGCTAAGCGAGTCCTCGGACGTCCTTATGTATATTACTCCATGTACTGCACTACATTTTATATCGCTCTCTTATGATATATTTCTTTATGTATGAGATAAGCTTAATATCGACTTGAGAGTTAGATATTGTGAATATTACGCACGTGTAGTCGTTGATATCATGTTTTTGTGTACATTTATTATCTCTCGATGGCAATCTAAATGTTTTTCAAAGATATATTTATCATGGATTGATAAAAAATATGTTTTATTTAACTAGAAAATATATTTTTATCTTAACAATGAAGAAAGAAAGAAATTGCTCAAAGCTTAGAAGTATTCGAGGAAATACTATTTGAACGATCAAGATGATTTTTTAAATATTGTTGACGAGCATACAGGGGTCGAATAGGTAATCGTGTTTCAGTACTTAATTCAACGATAACATCATTTGTCCATTGATTCTAAAGAAAAAGTCAACAATCTTTTAATCACTATAAACTTTATATTATTTACTGTATTTTGAACTTGTTTCCATCGACATACAACTTCATCATCACCAAGTTTACCAGAACAAGTTAATATAACAATTTGATCATCGCATCTATAGGATCGAAAACGAATTTAGATTTATAATAAATATGAATTATGTTCATACTTCGTTTTACAAATACATTTAACAGGTGCATCAGCTATTTTTGCTTTAAAGACAAGATTAAATGAAAGTTTTGCTGATGCTTCTAATGATTGTTGTTGTTGTTTATTTATTATTGATGGAAATTTAATTTGTCGATGTTCTTTAGACCATTCATCTGTTGATATAATAGCTGCACTTGATGAATGTGTTTTTGTTGATGTTAATGTTGTACTTGTATCACCAGAATCATTATCTCGATTTTTTCGATTTTCAATTATAGGATAAGTTAATGTTGAATTATGACGTCTACGACGTCGATTAAAATTTAAAGATCGATCTTTTATTTTCACAGGATAACTAATTCGATAAAAATCTTTATTTTCACACTCATCTAATGAATTATATAAATCTATCATAGCCGAATCAGATCTTGTACGAGATCTTTTTCGATTATTTACAAGATCAGGTAATAATGATAAATGACGCCGAGGTATACCATCAATCATATGACCTGCTACACTTAATGATCTCGAATAAAATTTTACATTAGTTGTATATGAACGTATTGATTTTGGTTGAAATGTAAAATTAAATACAAATATAATACCTGTTGATGTACCAATCCATAACTGTTCATTATGTATAAGAAATGAAGTAATACGAATTTGATCAGTAAAATTACTTGAACTACCATCATTATTTGAATTTAATTGAGTTATTTCTTCCATAGCTGCTAATTGTTCATCTGTTTTACCAATTTTTTCAAATAAATGATTTAAACATATGGTTCCATGTAATTTACATTCCGATTGATTCCATGCTTGTAATGTATTACTTGTTGATCGAAGTAAAATCCATATATGATCACTATCATCAGTATCATAATAAAGTAATGATGATGGATCTAAACTTTCAAATGTTAAATCAATATTCGATAGAATATCAAGTGTCCTACAAAAAAAACAGAAATATAAAAATCGACAGTTTTTAAATATTCTATATGACTTTTCATTGAGTATTGTCATTTTAGTTGCACTTAAACACCATAATTTATCATTACGATAAGCAACAGCAGTTATTGCTGATTTATCTATCGTTATACAAAATGCTTCTTCTGGTTCTCGATGATCGTATAACTATAAAAAAATGATAAGATTTATTTTTCGATAAATTTTCATTATTTAAATTACTTCAGCAATAGCTAAATTTCCATCAGATAAACCACAATAAATTCGATTAAAATTTCCTTTATTCGAACTAATCATACAAAGAACACAACTTCGTAATCGAGTAGCCCAAAGAATTTGTCTAGAAAAACAAAAACAAACTAAATAAAACCTTCTATTTTAATTTCTATTTGATTACCTTTCATCAATTTGAAAACATAATAAAGTACCACAAAGAGTACCAATTAAAACATGTTCATTATTAACACATGTCATACAAAATGCTCGTGAATTATACTATTCATAAAAAAACAAAATTTCTTATTTCAATAATAAAATACACATACAGTAGTTTCAAGATCAATCATGATCCCATGTTCAACATTAACTTCAAAAAGATGTAATGCATATTGTGAACCAAATGCAATCCAAACAAGATCTAAATTAATTAGTAAATATAATTAACAAGTAACGCTCATCTCTTTCTCGTAGAAACGATGTGTCTTCACTATCAGTAAACTATTTAATCATTCGATGTTTTTTTGACCCTGCGGATGTACAATCAAGAAATCAGACAATTTATGTTTACTGGACTCTTCTCTACGCAAGAGAGGGAATAATATTAATTAAACATACTTTTAGGAAGGACAACAGCACAATCAAGTGTTGTTGTTGATTGGTTTATTTCTTGAAACTAAATAGGAAAATTGAATTATTAGAAAAAATATTTCTTAGCAAAATAAACATACAACATAATCTCGTTTTGCAAAACCTTCTCTTGATAATTGTCGTTTAACGACTTTTTCTGTTAACATTTTTGTCCAATAAGCTTGTTTAATAGAAATATCTTTTCGATGACAAAATGGTTTAAGATCTTCAAAAGCAATCTAATAGAAAATGTTCAAATTATATAGAGAAAAGAATATAAATTAAAATAATCTACTTTAAAAAGATTTTCAACATCAATTAAATTTTTTGTTGAATCTTTAATTTGTTTCATCATTGATATTGTATCCGTTCTTGTTAAAATATGTTCACGATTTATAATTAAAATAGCTAATGCAAAACGAAATAAAACTTTAACACCTTCTAATAAAAAACAATCCCATATGCGTAATAGAGTTTCAAATGGTACACTATCAATAAATATAGCCATAAACCAATTAAGTGTTAATGAAGTTATTTCAACTTCATTATTTTCAAAATGTTGATGAATATCCGGTGCTTTTTGTTTAATAAGATCTTTCAAAACAAATTGATCAACTTGAGCACCAATTAAACCAATATCATAATAATTATTTAAATGACATTCAGTTAATGCAATTAATAACCAAAATGCATCTTCAGGTTCAAGAAGTAAAAGTGCTACAGCAACAATAAAATTCATTCCTTGACAATAACCAATTGTTGAATTATGTAAACAAAATACTTGAAGAACTTGTCGTAATTGACGGATCTATTTAATATTTTCAATGAAATTAAAATATTTTAGTGATACAAATAACGCTCGCTTAGCTCCTTCTCGTAGAAATGTATCATCTTCATATTTACTGAAAATCCTATACGCAAGAAAGCCAACCGTTTATGATCACCACACTCTGTACTACAAGCAGGAGAACATTTGAATACCCATAAAATGCATTACTCAAAAACCCGGTTTCTATTAGTCTACGTCACTTCTCTCACTACCCTTCAGTAGTCTGAGCAACTGAGGCGCACATTTGAAGTCTCCACATCAAAATATCTCTTTTGAAAAATTGATCTTCAATGTTTTTTTGACCCTGCTGACACACAAGTAAACAATTTATTCTTATAAGACTCTTCTCTATGAGAAAGAGAATAAATCTTACCCCGTCTGAATCTTTACTGCAAAATCGAATATTTGTTGGCATTGTTCGATAAAGATCAAGTGCAATTTGTTTTTCAAATTTATTATTCAACTAATAAGAATAAAAAAGGTATTTCAAGATATACATTAATAGAAATTTCTTACATCTGAATTTGGTAATAAATGACAAAGATTATGAAAATAAGATGAACCTTTTTCTTTTCGAATATTTTCAATTTGTTTTTGAATAAAAACATGCCAAACTTCTGAACGAAGATGATTGGGGATACCTTGACGTACAAGATATTTAAATGTTTTCTTTAATTAAAACAATATATATATGAGTAATAAATAAAAATTTCATTCATTTTTTCTTACGGAAACTGTCGAACTAGTCTGATACGTCTTTAATAATGATCGCCATACATGATCATCAGTACTATGTGCTTTTGTATCGTAAAAATGTGTTAGTTTAACACAAATATATTGTAAACGATCATTTTCATTGTTTTTTTCATGTTTAAAACCATATGAATCTATATACAATCCTGATCCTTCCAAACTATATGAAAGTAAAATTAATAAATTATAACTAATACCAAAAGATTTACTTGTCAAATGATGGTAATGATGGATCACGTTTACGACAATCAGCTAATAATTCTTTTAATCTCTCACGATGCTATTAAATTAGAAGATAATTTTTCTTATAAAACAAAAAATAAATAAATACTTTTGTTCCGCCAAATAATCGAACATCTTCCGTAGATAAAGATGTTTGTAATAAATAAATATAATCACGTTGTAAACTTTCACGTTGACTCTGTTGTGAACGTATTGTCCTTATAGAAAAATGAAATGAATTCAAATATTTTTTATCTGAAAATATTTACTTGATAAGTTTACGTATTTTAATATCATCATCACGAATAATTCGATGTAATTTTGTTATTTCACAATGAAGAAATTTAAGTTCATTATTCGTTTCACGACTTCGTTCATTAACTATTTTTGAAATAGTTTGTTGTCTAATAACATTCATTCATTTATTCAAGAAAAATTTTATATTATTAATCATACTTGCTAGATGATGCTGGTGTTTGAATGACATCAGATAATTGTTTTTCAAGTTTACGAATTACATCGGATTTTTCTTTTATAATCATTTGATAAATATTTTCCTTATTCATAAGTGAAGCTAATTCACATTTCAATGTTCTATTTAAAATAACAATAGAGATTATTAGTTAAATAAATAATATAACATACAATAGAGTTTCTTGTAGATTACTTTGATGATGTAAACCACCACCATCATTTAAATCTAATAAACGTTGATCATAAAAAGCTGAATCTGATGATTCAATTGAATGACTTGATGAACCAGTTCGATATGGATTAGATTCTTTTATTAAATCTAATGGTCGATTAAATGTTGAACGACAATTTACACATAAAGATGATGTACATGTTTCACAAAGATGAACACATGTATTCGATGATAAACTAAATAAATTATTGAAAAAAATAAATAAAATTTCTTTTGATAACAAACCTCATCTTTCGATTATTATTTTCATTTATTGAACCTCGTCGATGTTTTTCTAAATGAATAATTTTTTACAAAAAAATATAATTTAAATAAATCTTACCATCTTCACTGGAAAAATCACTTAGATTAGGTCGTTCAGTAAGAAATATTCTTGGATGTAAAAATTCAGTTTTTGTTAAACTATCCGCTCGATGCATACGCCAAACTAAAATCATATAAAATTAATAAAAACCCAATTTTCTCTTATCAATACTAACCATCATCAGTATTAATAACCTAATTCAAATAAAGAAGTTTATTTTAAATAAATAAATAAAAATATTCTAACATACTTCATCAATATCAACACCTGCATCTGTTTCATGTACAGTTATTCCATTTTTTGATGGTATACATGAATCACGTTTTGTCTTAATATAAAAAGAAATGTATATTTCAATATCAAATTTGTTTTTCTCAACTATATTTACTTACTTGTAATCCAAGTAACCAAATCATTAATGCTTCATGATTTTCAGCTCGTAAATGATATTCTTTATTATTAGTTCTTTAAAATAAATATTTCAAAAAAAAAGCTGTCTATTAAATAAGTAGAAAAACTATATCAACATACATAATAATAAAGACACGTTCTTCAGTTGTACTTAATGTAATGGCAGCTCGATATAATGGTATATTTTCAATGGGTGTCTTATTACTTATTAAATCACGTTCAGATTGATAAAATTCTAATGTTTGAATCGATTCGTTAAATGCACACCAATAACGACGAGTAGGAAGAACAAGACTTAGTGCTAATATTATTATTATTGACAAAAAAAAAAGAAAATTTGATATTATTTATCAATAATATATTTACCTCCAATAGGTTTAAGAGATAAAAACCCCGACAAACTATAACAAGAAGTACCTTCCATTTGTATATGTCATCTCGTCTTTCAATTTGTTCTGAATTTTGAAAAAAACAATATTAATAAAGAAAAATAAATTAATCAATCTACCTTTGTGTAATAATATTTAATTAATATAAATTTATATGTTGGTGGAGGTCACAAATAATAATGATGTGTATATGATTAACTAAATATGTGATTATTGAAATTTTCCTTTTTTTTTCTTCTTGTGTCTTGTTTTTTCTTCAATACCCTGTCGATTAGATAGTCGAATATTTCGCAAATGTGTCTCTATTCAATATTTTTCTCTTTGTCCTTCTTTTTCAATCCCTTGTTTTTTTTCGTATTTCGTTTTTCATATTTTTTCTTTATCGATATCAATTGGCAACAGCAGCCAGCTGTTAGATAGAGTATTTGGCTGAAATGAGTAGAAGAATGTCATTGATAAACAACAAAATATAGTGTTATTGTTATAAGTATATATATTTTTTATGTCATTTTATTTTTCTGTATTTGATTGTAACAGCTTGATACTTTACTCGATTAATAAAGAAAAAAACAAGAACACTCTTTTTTCTTATATTCGATATGAATTATATTTATAATTAATAATCATATTAAAGATATTTCTAATAATAGAACAGAGATTTTTCTAAGCAATTCTTTTAAAGTCATTATGAAAATTTTATATTTAAATGATAGAAATTTTTATTTTGATTGTCATATTTCCGTTGTTAATATATTGAAAAAACAAGTGCTAGCTTCGTTTAATAATGACAGGTGAACAGTAATATTTCTTCTTTTTTTTGCTACTGCTACATGGTTACTATTTCACTTCCGTCGTATTGTCAAGGTAAAGCAAATCTCGAGTGGTGGTCGCGTCGGTACGTAATAGAATCTAAGCTACATAGTGTGTGTATGTGTGTGCTCATTCGTCTTATATTATTCCGTTTGAGA